CAGAATATCCGAATAGAACAGACAATAGTGAGTAGCGTGCGTGTTCAAGCTTGATTCTCAACTTTCAAAAGCACAGATATCAGTATAGAGCAAACAACGAACTAACTCGAAGTCGATTTCACAGTTTTAAGACCACCTCCACTCTCTGCCCTTCTCCTTCCCCTTTTCCACCACTTCTCCTCTCTTACGCTTTCCAGGCACAAAAATCCCCTTGATAAAGCTGTCTGCGAACAGGGAGCTTTAGACTTTCCAATACTGCGCTCGATTTGGCAGTCCCCAAGCAGACAGATTAGACAGGGTAGCTCTCGAACAGATGAATACTAAGTCCCACCTAATGCTCCCGATTAAATAAAAAAAAAAAGTGTTTTCAATAATGCCCCTGATTGACTGACCGAATTACTAATAGTTTTCGAATTTCGATAACACCACTTGACTGGACCGTTCAAAATTCTGATCAATTCAGAGTTTTCCAAAAATGTGTCCCGTTCGGGGTGGTCGGGATGCTGACGGATTCTGAGTTTACAAAAATTTGGCTCTGATCGGGCTGTCGAACACTGACAAATTTGCGCTGAATGGGCTGATCGCAGCCTTGACAAGAGATGGGCTTCTACCCAAGTCTAGAGTTATCGCATAACGGCCCTGATCGAGCGGCCCTTACACACAACTGACCGTTCTCCCCCGCCGACTCTGTCCAGCGTGGCACGAAATCGACTCCTTCTTGCTGAAACGTGCCATCGCCCACCGCCAGCGTGCACCAGACAGAGTCACACTTTTCGCCAATTGCTGTCAAGGAGCTTGATGACTGCCCCAATAGCTAAGTGAAGAGGAGGAGAACGAAGTAAATACCTGCTCGTTGATAATCGACTTCGCATAACCGTTCTTACCGCCCCTTCGATTGAGCTACAACACCCGTAGCAGCGTTTCCTTAAGTCGTATATTCTATCCAGCCGCATTCGACGCACTTCTCGGGCTCAGCTTTCTCTTCTCGAGACTCGTGTTTCGTAAGGCGCCTAGCGATCAAGCCCCTAAGCGAGGGCTCTCGCAGTCTTCTCACTCTCCTCCTCTCCTTCTCCCCGCGCCCAACCATACGTTCTCGCCTGGACACGCCTCCACCAGTGTCCTCNAGCGAGGGCTCTCGCAGTCTTCTCACTCTCCTCCTCTCCTTCTCCCCGCGCCCAACCATACGTTCTCGCCTGGACACGCCTCCACCAGTGTCCTCGCTTGCGCGASCTCRCTCACAAGTYYGCGACGCAGGTCGTCGGAGCTGTYAGCACCTCTCACGYTGGCCMCTACCGCRCAAGCCRAGCGTGCAGGGTGAGCSTTTCCCGCCTCTCAATCTCACCTCGTCTCCTTCTCCCCTCGCGCTTGTGCAGGAGTTCCCGACCTCATCAGCTCTCGAGTGTTCGGGCCCTCTCGAGCGAGCACCTGAGGCAAGAGTGCTTACGCACACAAGCACGTATGCACGCTGCGAGCCAGCTCGTGCACAAGTGAACACCCGGGTCATGAAAATGTTGCCCTCTCATCTCTGCCTAAACTTCTCATGCTTGTAACAGAACTGTAGAGTGAGCGCGGGGAACGCCTAGCTCGCCTTGCAACCACGTGGTTCGAGCTGTATCGCCTTCCGGACGCCCGGCACACCGTGCTCGACTCCCCTTCCGACGTGGGCGGGGTACACCGTGCATACTCCCCCCCGTTGCAACTGCCCGTATATCCTATGTAGCCCTCGGTACCTCCGGCCCATGCTGTTCTCCGGACATATGGGACGGGGCTGAGTGTCCTCCCCCGTCTGCCCCAACCGCCTCGCGACCCAGCAGGCTGTGCACTCCAGCTATTAACCGAGCCCGTATCCCACAGCGATTCGGGCCTGATACATGGGGACTCAGTCTCCTGTTAATAGTATCCTTGGACTCTGTGTCAGCGTTCTCCCTTCTCGTACCTCCACGCAGCCCCGCAACGTACGACTGCGGATCGTGGGCTCAGTGGCAAAAGTAGCTGGTCAGCAGAATTCCTCGAAGGCCTGGATACCGCGGCAAATTCTGGCCTGAGACCACGCAGTGTGCCATTTCAACGCCATACCAATGTTGGGTCTGAAGCGTACTGAGGGCCGGAGACGAGCCTTGTAAGTTGAACCATTTCGGATCCCAAAAATTGCTTCATAATGCATACCCCTCTTACCAGATGGCGGACCTGAAAAGGCTTACAGTGAGGCGTTCCATGGGGGAGTCGAATCTGAAAATATGCTGCTGCTGCGGCTCCGTACCCCAGATCGTCCCATAGGAGCAGGTCTGAACCTGAGAATAAAATGCTGCTGTGATGTCGAACCAGGAAATAAACCGTCATAGCGGTTCCGAACCTGAAATGAACGGTCATTGTGGTACCGAACCTGAAAATTGCTGATGGCAGGGAACCCGACACAAATGGCACTGTAGTTTTGGCTTGGAACAATATACCGTAGAGATCCCAGGTCTGAAATAAAACATCGTGATGATTCCGAACCTGAAATATAATGCGTCAACCGTATCGAACCTGGAAATAAATCCTCGTGACATTCCCGAGCCTTGAATAAATCGCCAGATTAGTTCCGAATCTGAAAGTGAAGCAATCTCAAGGCAATACCGGACCTGAAAACGACGCTGAGTAGCGTACCATGTCGACGTCAGACCGCCACTGAACCTGCGATATGCTTGACGCCGCAGGGTGCTGAAGAACATGAACATCCCCGAACCTCGAACCAGATATCGGAGCAGCGCCAGAATAATATTGTCCCATACTGACGGTGCGACCCCTCCCCTCTCACACTCAGTTATTAGGTTCAGCGTTCAGGTAAATCGGGTTAATGATGCAAAGAATCGTGATCATCGGTGGCTGGAGAAAACTGGCTAGAATTAGAGAAAAATAAATAATCCGAGTTAAGTGCCGACAGCGGATAATCTAGACAAAAATGTATCAGACTTCTAATTATCACRAGTTATAGTCCCTCTTATCATTTTTAATTGTCTCCTTTGCCTTTTAATTCTATTTTTAGAAAATAGCAAARTATCATTATTCTACAAAAATTGGATTCCGCGGTGATTATGAGGAATTGCAGAAATTTCCTTGTTTTCCTATCCTTCTAATCGCTCGAATCATTTCCTTTRCTTTTGAATTCATCGCAGGGAATAGCAAATAARAGAAAAWTTTAATATRYAATCATATACARCAGAAATTTGGTAATGTTTCGAATAYCCCGCTTTTTCTCGTGTTTTCTCTCTTCGTCGGCTTTCCTTTCGTTTCTAAATTTGCTATTAGAAGTAACGAAATTCTCAGGCCGCACTACCCCACCCGCAGGGTATGATAAAAGGGTCGTCCCGAGGCCCGTTGCTGCGCCTGCCCCCCGCGAGTAGCCTTTTYGGTGATAGGCTCAAAATGACGGAAGGCKGGCAAGCGCCAACGCCCTRGGGMWGGGGTCAGCCCGRCTCGTTTTTTAGGGCTACTTGTAAGGTTTCGTGCGCCGAAAATCAGGGGTGCCCTGGGTTCCCCTAATTTTTGCTGCCTGGTCAAACCAGAGTACCGTCAAAGATCGGATTTGTTTCCGAGCCTAAGTCCCAAAGCCGCGGATTTCAAGCGGCCCATCCCTCGTGGCCGCGTGATAGTTAGCCCGAACCTCTTCTCGACGCCCCCGTCGAGCTTCTAACCACTTACGTCAAATGAAGCGGACGAGCTTCAGGATGATTGCCTGTAAAGGATACCCACGTCGACATTTAGTCGTTATATATTTCAGTTTGTTATCAGTTTAGGGGCTAAGAAGATGTTTCTTGACTTTTCATTTCCTTCGGGATTTTGGCCTTGGTAGGATTCTCTTTTTCTTCTGACGTTGGTCCGAGAAAGGTGCCGACCCGCCAGTTCGTCTAATGCGAACTCTCCGTCTGACTCTCTTGAGCACGAATAACAATTTCTTCTCTCTTCCGAATGCCAGCCCTTTGACCCTTCTTCTCTCCACTCTTTTCCTCTTCTTGGAACTTTCCCTTGCCTCGAATCGCCTCGAGGGGGCTCCATTCTCCATTTTGGCTTTTCCTTTCCCTTTCGGGCTTGTCAGCGATAAGGTAGGTGCAGGCCGGGGTCTAAACAGTTTCAACCTAGCTCCCGCCACTGGGTCCTTCCACTAGGACCCGTCTAATTCTGCTATCATATATGCACCCCATTCGAGTGCCTCAACCACTTTGTAAGGTCCCATCCATCTGTTGGCGAGTTTTCCGGTCTAGGTCCTCGCGAGTGCTGCGTCGTAGAGAAGGACCATATCTCCTATGCTCACTCTCTCTTTCCTGATCCGCACGCTCTTATCCCATCTCTCTTTACCTTTGTCCCTTTCCCCTGCCAGACGGTCTGCCGCGGTCATAAGGTTATCTTCCAAACCGTAGGCTATCTGTCTTGTTCGGGCAGCTATGAGTTCCTCTCTGGACATCTCCTCCGCCCAGTCGACGGTTGTCCAGCTGTCAACGTGAAACTCTATGGGGAGCGGACAACGCCGCCCAAACCACAAGGTGTATGGTGGGTATCCAGTGCTTGCCCGGACCGTGACGTTGTCCGCCCATATTGCGTATCGAAAATATCGTGGCCAATCACTGTCCTTACCTTTGTACCACTTAGATAGCGACGCTATCAGAGTTTGGTGTCCCCTTTCCACTGGAGAGTTCGATTGTGGATGGTAGGTGGTGGCTATCGAAACTCTCGCTCCGGCTTTCTTGAACACGCTCTGAACCTCGTCAGCTAGAAACTCCGCCCCTCTGTCCATCACTATCCTCCTGACACAACCATACCTAGATAAGTACTCTAGGACGAAGTTCTTCACTTCCTTTGCCGTCTTACTCCTGATAGGTCTTCCGTCCACGAACCCAGTGAAGTCGTCTCGTATGTTCACAACGTAGTTCATATAGCCTACTCCCTTCGGCATCTTCACCAGATCGATGTGCACCTTCTCTCTTGGCCTGGTCGGATAGGATGGATGAAGTGGCTCTTTGTATTTCACAAGAGCTCTCTTTTGGCACTCCTTGCAGGTTATACAGTATCTCTCGACGTCCTTATACTGTCCTTCCCACCAGTACGACCTGCGTACCTTTTCGTAAGTCCCTTTGACTCCTCTATGTCCCCCGACTACTCCGTCGTGAAGCTCCGCAACTATCCTCAGGATCACAGACTACTTGTAAGGGCATCCCCGTCCCTACTGGCCTTCGGAAAAGGTTGCCCGCTCTAAGGAAGTACTGGGCCGCTTGTCTCCAGATATCTGAATCTTGACTCTCCTCTCCTGACAGGTGTAGCCCGATCGTTCGGTACATGCCCTCGTAAAGGTTAACCAGAAATCGTTCGGCGCGTCTCGGCACCGCCATTGTCAGGGCTCCAGCTACTATCGGGCGTTCAGCCTTAAGGCGGATCCATGAAAGCGCATCCGCCACAACATTTTTAGTGTCATATATCCTCTCAACTGTGTAATCATATAGTCGAATCCGTATCAACCATCGAGCAATGGTTGGGTCTGTCAGACTAAAATCCTTCTGGAGGACAGAGGCGGCCGCTGTGGGATCTACTCTTAAGATGAACCGTCGTCCATAGATATAATGCCTGAACGTGTCTAGACACCGCAGAACAGCTAACACTTTCTTCTTGAATTGACTGTAGTTACGCTCTGCCGTATTAAGTGTCCTACTCTCAAATCTTAACGGTATCTCCTTCCCTTGAGCGTCCTTCTGAGATAGCAGTCCTCCGACTGAATAAGGTCCAGCATTTGTGGATACTATGAAAGGTCTCCCTGCCTCATCATCAAAGAATGGCACGCCCAGTACGCGTCTTCCCTCCTTAAATTCGTCTTTAAGCTCTTGCATAGCGAGTTCCTGCAAGGAATCCCAGTAGAATTTTTCAGTCTTTCGAAGGAGTAACCTCAACGGCTCAGCCTTCTCCGCATACCCCCGTATGAATATCCGCCAGTATCTGACCACTCTCGGAAACTGTCGGACCTCGGTTGGACTATGTAACGGTGACGGCCAGTTTAGGAATTTGTCTAGCTTCGCCGGATCTGCTCGGCGTCCTCTTGAGTCGCAGATAAAATCTAAGATCTTAATAGTGGAGACGGCCCACCGGCTCTTTGTTCCGCTGACCGTTAAATTCGCATCATCCAGCTGCTCAAGTACCGCGGAAATATCTGTTAGGTGCTGCTCGACGAATCTTCTAACTCCTGGTACGACCTCTGTCTCATCCTTCTTTACTGACCCTTTAATAGGAAAATCGTCCAAAAAAACTTCAACCTTATCAGAGATGAAGTCCTTGAGGACGGCTACCATAGCTCTCTGGAATACAGCTACCCCATTAGTCCAACCCATAGGCACAACCATCATCTGTATTAGTCCCAATGGCGTGTGCATAGTCGTGAGGTGCCTGTCCCTAGGATTAAGCGGTACCTCATCATAGCCTGAGAACAGATCATAGACCGAATAAATCGACCTGCCTGTGGCGCCTTCAGCCAATAAGTCGGCGTGTGGCACGGAGCCCACGTCTCGTATCGTTACCGCGTTGACCTTCTGAAGGTCCTGGATCCAACGGATCTTGCCATTCGGCTTTCGTAGGAAGAACCATCGATTAGCATAAGCGCTATCAGATGGCTCCGCAACATGGGAAATTATCTTTTCTTTCAAGAATGCGATAACTTATTCCTTCTCCCTCTGTGCGTATTTCCACTCTGCTTCATTTCATGGAACATGTGAAATCCTGTAAATCCTTGCTGGCTTTGCGTATCGAGGGTCAACCCTTCCGCGCTCAGCGTCGCTGAAGGCTATAGCCTTATCGCACGTCTTTAGGATCTCTATCACACGTTCCCGCTCCTGAGGGGTCAGGTTCCCATCTCCGATGTCCATCCCTGCTACTCTCTTTTCCGTAAGGCGTTGCGGCTCCTTTTTCTTTCTTTCCTTGATTTCCTTTGCGATCTCTTCTTCCGATATCCCTTCCAGTGCAGATCGTTCGTGGCCCAGCGCTGCTGGCTTAACCTTTTGAGCTACTCGCTTGTGTCGCTTGGGTAGCCCCCCTTAGGGGGCCGTGCCCTTAAAAAAGACACAGACACCATCAGTCTCCTTTGGGTACGAGTTGCCATCCACTATCAGCCGACTCCCTAAATCTTCCACTTCCACGATCCGACTTTTTTTCCTCTGTGAGCAGTGGTCCGTACTTCTTCTCGCGAAATCGCACCGCGCGGCCAGAGATAGGTAATGACTTAATCTGATAACTGGGTCTTGCACCCACAGCGAGAGCTGCTCTGTTCCTCCGGTCCCGAGGCTTCACTGTCTCAATCATAACTCGCGTCCCATCTAGCTTCTTAATGAACAATGTCTGGCTCCCGTCCGGTCGCTCTATCGTTACCGCATGCACGTGGCTCAACCACGTTCGTCCCAAGAGCAGATCGGAGCTGCAGTTCTTGACTGCAAARACAGGCAGGGTCACTCGTACCCCTTGGACCTTTATGGCTGCCTTGTGACAAACCCGGGTGATTTATTGCTTTCTCCCAGCAGTCGTCTCTATCTCGAATAGGTATGACTTATCGAGGCCCGGTCCAACCTACTCTGCCAGATCCTCGTCTATAATGACAGCCTCACTGCTGTTATCGATCACAGCATTTGGTACCGCTCCATCATTTATGATCGCCTCCACGGCCCCACTACCAAGTATGTAAAACTTGTCTGGAGGCACACCTTCCATCCCATCAAGAAGGACTGTCGCCATGCGATCAGCTCTGGCAGTCACCCCCGTTACTGCTACTGTAGGAGCTTCCGCCTTAGGGGCCCCCTAAGCCTCCTCTAAAAGAGGTATGCGAGTCTTCCACGTAATCATCTGTAACTCATCACGAGCCAGCTTCGACGCCGCCAGGTACTCTAGAATAGAGCATTGCATGGGCTGCCGAAGGGTCCGTCTCAGTGGCTCGACCGTTTCAATCTCATCCAGCGAACTCTTCGTCAAGAACTTCTTCACTCCCCGCTTTCGCGGCGAAAGAATAACCTCCTCTCCATCGATCCGCTGCCCGTCCTTCTTCGCCATCACGTAATTTGTGTCAGTCTTCTTCGATGTAGACCCCCTCGCCGACTTGGTGGCTGCCACCCTTATGGGTGTGGTCGACATATCTTCTTCGAAAGTTATCTTGATGCTCTGGCTCCTAACCGGCTCCTTTCCTTTACTCGGACCCACTCTCCTTGCTTCTACAGTCTCCTTCATCGAGGGGAACATCGATACGTCTCCTAGATCGTCTGCCCACTTGACGTACTTGCAGTCATCAAGCACGACAAGTCCCTCATCTATTGCCCGCTTGAGATTCGGGCAGTCTCTCTTGATATGATCATCTCCTCTATAGTAGATGCATGAGTTCCTGGGAGTAGATGGCCTGTCGTCTGCACTTCTATAAATCGAACCCCTAGTTGCCTTGGGGTCAGGGGACTTGGGATACGACTCTAATGGGGCGCCATATCCCCCTCTGTCATTCCAGCCTCACGAATCATTGCGGCGGTCTCCTCCAGATCCTTCTGGCTCGTATCGTCCTCGTGAATCGTTTCGGCGGTCTCCAGAGTCGTATCGCCCGCGTGACTCATCGTGTCGATCTCCTCGGTAGTACCACCCCCGCGAATCGTCGCGCTGCTCTCTCGCGTATCCCCTGCGGTCATACTGTCCGCGCGAATCATCTCGTCGGTCCTCGTCTCGATCTCCTCTATCATATCCGTCACCCCTGTATCCATCTCGATTCGTCCTCTCATACCTTCCATCCCTATATCCATCCCAGTCCGACCTCTCATATCTGACGTCCCTGTATCCATCCCGTCGGCCCTGATCTGACTCCCACCGGCCTCGAGAGTTGCCTTTGCCCCCATCAGCCTCGTAACGAGGGCTACGTGAGTAATCATCCAGCCTCCTAGCTCGCCCATACGTCTCACGAGCTCTGCGGTCCCGGTCTATCTCATCATCCCTATGTCGCAATGGCTCATCGTCTCTCTCCGTTTCCCTCGCACGATAATCAGTCAGCGTTCGAGGGTTTCTATCCTCGACATTTCTCCAAGAATCAGTGTTCCTCCGGTCCCAGCGAAGTGAATAGGGCCCTCCGGGCTTGTCCCGGTATATCCTGGCTCGTGTGGTGGTCACAATCTCTGTAGCATGTCTTGTCAATCCCTTTACCATGTCCCTTATCTCCTTCACTTTCTTCGCCACGGCTTCGTTCTTCTCCGACCAGGGATAGTCCTTGAAATTAGGACATCTATCTGTGACATACTCCTTGTAGAGAGAGAAGTCACGTCTCCTCATCCCTCTCCACACCAAGTCCTTGTAATCGTCTGCCTCTGCCTTTATCGCGAGCTTTAGGACTCCAGGGAAGTCAAGCTTGTCGCGCGGAAGATCTCTAAGTATACTCTTTTGTCTATTTTTGGACAGGTGTCCGATGAAGATGGTACAACGCTCGACCTCTTAGATCTTCCCCTTCTTCATCAGCACGTCGGAGATCTTCTGAAAACGCATTCCAAATGCCCGTACGCTCTCATCTTCATCTTGAGTCATTGTCTCAAGGTCCTTGGTGGAGTACTTGTTATCCTCCAATTTATAAAGCTCAACGAGGTTCTTTTTATACGTAGTCGATTTCCCATCCTTCGGTCGTTCTTCCTTAACTTCCTTGCCGAGGCTTGGGTTCACATTAAATAGGAAGTTCTCTATTATCTCTTCCTTCGACCACTGACTCCGGCTGGCATGAAGCTCCCACTTCTCCCGATATTTTCTGATGCCATAGCCCCTGAAAGTAAGAGGCTCTGAGACCTTGTGCGTAATAATATACCGATCCTTGCTCTCGTAAGGGAGCGAATGCGACTCCCTTGTCTGGTGGTCGAAGACTCGCCTGGGCGGCGCTCTGTCTCTATCTTTGTCCCTCCAATAAGAATCCCTCGAACTCTCTCTCCAATCGTCCCTGTGCCTATCCGCCATGGTCTCCCTTCGCTCATATTCGGGGGAGCGTCGTCTCATTGCTTCTCGTCGGGCGCTCGAGGTTCCAGTCTTCAGAGCCTCCTGCGGCTCTGTCATGACCGGCTCACCCATTACGTCCGGCTCTCCATCATTGGTTTGGTCAGCCCATCTCAGCGGTCCCTCCCGCCTAATCCTTTCCTTCAGATCCCTCAGTGCTCGGTCGGGCGACGTCATGTACTCCTCCCCCGCTTCGCCCGTGGTCGATTGTGGCCCCATCGTGTCTGGTTCCATAGGCCACTAGAAGATGCAGTTGGGCTCTCACGTCGGGCATTACAACCCAGACCTATAATAGTTGTCGCAGCCCGGACCTGTGACAAAACTCACAGCCCGGACCAGTTTCCTTGTCACGGTTCACGCTCGTCTCCAATCCTAGCTCTCGACTACCCTGATTACTGCCACCAGTACTTCGTCTCGGTCGCGGATCTCGTGCTCTCCCTCTATACCAAGAATCCCTGTGTCTAGGTAAACCTCTCCTTCGGGATCGGCCAACAAGGCTGCGCCTTTCCGGATTTGCAGTACACCGGTAACCGGATCTCTACGCCTGCGGCAGATCGCAGTCCCAAGCCTAACCAATGTCTCCTGATCAACACCCATCAAGAGCCCTCGAGCGTCTATCTCCGTCCTCCTTGCTAGGTCTCCTAGCCCGTCCTGAATCGGGTAGCCTGCTAAAGGAGGAAGCTCGCCTCCTACTGCCATCCAAAGTCGCTCGTCGCCCTTTCTGTCCTCCACTATCCTTCCAAGAGCTTCCAATCTCTATATCTCCTCCTTTAACCCGCAGACAAATATGAGGTTCCTCTTTAGTATCTGAGGGTAGTCAGTGCTATAGCCGCTCCCAGTCTCACTGCCGACAACTCCAATACATTATAGAATGTCTCAAAATCCTCCTCATCTTCACTATCCTCTATGGCTTTTAAAGTCTTTATCGATTTCCTCCAGTACCGATCATGAGCGGCTAGCACCCTGAGTATTGCACCGTCTGTTACAACTCTCCCTAGCTCTCCAACTTTTCTGGCTTCGCTTATCTTCAACCTCTCAGCCTCTCTGGTCGTCTCGTACCATGCCCTTATTCGAGACCGCCCTTCGAAAGGTGTCACTCGGAGTACGTATTTTATCCTTCGTCCTCCTTTTACTCCAATCCAAAGTCATGTCCCCCTAGCCTCACCCAGCGCACGGCGGACACACTCTGCCTCCTCAACTATGCACAGTCTGGTATGGAGCTGGAGCTCTACGATCACTAACACCAACGGTCCGTCCAGTGTCCCTACCACATGCAATGAGTACCGATCCGTCGTGAGTAGTGCGGTCCCGCTCATGTCCTGTCGCTACCTTCCTACGTTGCCTTGTCCTCCGTTGTCACGCCCTCTCCAGACTTCTCCCCAGTTCCTTCACGTGATACGCTCCTAACCTTTACCCTCTCCAGAAAGTCTGATCTCCACGCCTGGACAATCTCTCTTTCCTCCCTGAACAAACTTTCTAACTCTCTCGTCACGAGCTCAACCCTACGCAACTTGCCCTCATCCTGGCACGACCCGATCTCCCTTATCTTGTTCCCTAACTCCTTTCCCTGGTTCAAGAGTGGTTCTTTAATGCACTTTCTCACTCTTTTGACAGCCTCACTCTCCTCATCCATGCTCAGTCCTCATCTCTTTCCAGCTCATCCTCTCACCCTCGCTCTAGCCTCCGCTACCGTCTCGTCGTGGAAGTGCTCCGCGCGCATATTACTATGAGACCATATCATCACATCATAGGAAATCGAGGTCTGGAAGGTCACCCGCGCCAGTACATCAGCTCTATGCTCGTGGATCAAATCCCTGGCTCGTTGTCGGCACTCCCTCGCTGTCAAGTCCTCATCTATGTACGCTCGGAGAAGTACTGTCACAGTGTACCTTGTGCTTACCAGTTGATCTCCTACGCGCATCACGGCGGCCGTCCTCCCCGGCATTCCCTAAGTTGCGGCCTCGAAGAGAAACCTCACATCCTCTAGCCCCACGTAATCAATCTCCGCCTGTCTCCTGCAGTACCTAATCAGATCGACTGACCTCTGACAGTCTACCCAGCAAGTAACGTCTATGATGTCATCAAGCGTCTCTCTGCTGGGCAGTCCCCACCTCACACAAATGGCGTAGTATACTCCCCTGAAACAGGGCGCTAAGCCCTCCCARAGCGCGTAAAGTGTGTGGTCCACTGCTCTACTCAAATGTTTTACACTCTCGTAGGTCTTCCCTATCACGAAGACAGGAAGTACGAATCGCCAATCCTCTCTCGGGTAGAGGGTCGGATGTGGAGGACCGTATACCAAGCGGCTCCAATACGTCCTCCCTCCAGAGAGTCTCGCGAGTTGCTGATTAACGATCACTCTGGCCAACAACTCGCTTCTCCACCAAGCCCTGCTTGCCCCTGCGAGCGTCAGTCCTACCTCTAAATTGTGTGCTCTATCCATTATCAGATGTCCCACCCCTTCTAGGTCATGAGTCCTCTCGGGTCGTCCATCTTTCAGTATCACTGTCCAAAGGAAGAGGCTCATTGCCAGCCACGTTCCTAGGTAACGTATCGGAACACGCCTTGTCTCCTCTAACGCCACAGGAAGAGGAATGTCGTATCCCATAGCCGTCTCTCTGGGTCTCACAAGTTTCCTCACGCTATAGGATTCAGACTCTCGTGAAAGAACATAAGCTAGCCAGGCTACTGGGTCACTCCTCATCTCCCCTCTGGCTCTCGATCGGTATCACTCTACTCTCTCCGACGCACCATATCTCTCGATGTTGCTAACTCCTCAGACAACTCTCCCACTGAGGTTTAGTATGGTCGAGTAGGTGTTGTGCGCTCTCTCGTCTGCTCCATGGAAGTAGATAGTAAACTCGACGCATCCCTGGCTCCTCCGTATCTCCTAGGCATGCTCTGTCATGAGTCTGATCTGTCGCTGAACAATGTCCAACGCCTCTCCTTCCCAGCCGCCTGTTCTATCTCGTCGTAGGGAAAGGGTCACCCTCAGTGTATCCCGGTCTGCCATCCTTTATCGCTCTTACCGCCACTCTCGTCTTGCCTAAAGATATCTACTTACCGTCTCTCCACTACTCCCTTCTCTAAGCCTCACTCGGATATGCCCTGCCTCTAGTCGTCTCACACATCCGGCATATCCTTATTTATGTCCTCATCTACCCTCTGGCCCCACGGGATATCCTCCTGTCCCTCGGCCTAAAGGAGATGCCCCCAACCGTCCTCCTGCGGCGCCTCTCCACCTCCCTGCTCCTGTCTCTCGGCCCGCTCCAGATCTCCCCAGCCCTCGTCCTGTTCGCCCCAAGGGTCTATGTCATCGAAGTCCTCCCAATCTCGATCCTCAACGTACCACGCAAGATCGTCAGCCTTTGGATATACCTGCCGGTAATACTCCTCAACCTCCCCGGTCGAGATGAGATGGCCCGGTCTCTCCTCACGAGTCTCGGCTAACAGTTGTCCTACTCCTGCTAAATGATCTATAGGCCTCTGAGCCTCTCTCTCTAGCGTCGTCCAGAAGGCTAGGGGCTGGTACAGAGAATACAGGTCAAGGTTCCCGGCAGGTACAATGGCCCGCATGAACTCAATCAATTGGAGCCCTCGCTCGCCTGCAAGCGGCCCCGCTACAAACTGCGCATACAGCACCCTGTCCCTGTCAGCGTACCCTCGGCAGAGGCCGTCCATGTCAAGAGCCGCAAAGTAGATCTCACCCAGACGCCTAAGTCCCCAAAGCTCCTCCGCCACGAAGCACGGAAGTGTCACACGCAGTCGACTGCTAGGATATGGGAAGTGTCCTCCAATCCTCAAGGTCATCGTCACTCTCCGAACACCCCCGTGCAGTCGCTCTACCTCACCGCGCGCGGAGTCTGCTCAAGCCAGCAAGATCCTCCTCGCGGTCTGCTCCTCTCGCCAATGATCGTGTACGAGGCCG